TTTATATTCTCGTTGAATTTGTTCACTTAGTTAAACCTCTAAACCATCAAGTTTTCCCTCATAACTTAATCTCTCAAATCTTTTTCTTTTCAGCTGTCAATGATACTCTGAGTTGCCACCGGGTTTTATTTTTTCCTTCAATACTTTATTTATTTCACAATAATATTTATAATTTTCCCCGCCATTATAATATCAGCCAACCTAATTTTAAATTTCCATTGCTCAGGCAGTTAAGCAACGAGAAATAGATATGGGAAAAGTCTCCAAGGTATGCACCTGAACGATTCATTGTTCGTCGGATTTTCTTATGAGCAGAATGCTTAAATTCTGAATCTTTTTTTTTTGGCTTTGACTGTTGTAGTTTTCGTGGCCTAAAGTAATCGTCCGAAAATGGCTGAATATACTGAGTGGAGCAGACGAGTTTCACTCCGATTATGCCATCAACAGTGAAAAAATTACAAATCCCACCGTGAATCAAAGGGGTAGTGGAAATCAAAGAGCTCCAAGAAGTAGAGAAATGGTGATGATTATGAGGGTTTTAATATTTCATGTTTGGTTTGGCCTCTCGAGGTGAGGGTTGTGTCATGTGTGTGATAAGAGGAAAAGAAGAAAAGTGTAGAAAAGATAAGAGAAAGAAATAAGAAGAGAAGAAGATGGGGAATGGGTTGAAGACGATGAAGAGTCGGTCAAAATGGCAGTCAACAATCCAACTCAGTAGATAACGATCCAGGTGTGTTTTCCGTCATGTCTATTAACGGCGGTTAACGTCGAGTGATTATTTCATAACAAACGATAATGTTAGTGATCGATTTGTGACTTTTTAAACATTAGTGGTAAAAACGAAAACTTTCCATAACATTAATGACCATTGAAGTAGTTTACCCTTAATTTTATTTCTGATTTTTTACTTCATAGAAATGATAGAGCTAATATATATATATACATATATAATGATATTATTTATATTTTTAAAATAAATAAGTAAAAGAAATAAAATTACAAATAAAATTTAAAATCATTAAAAAGATTATAACTCTATTAAGATTAAGTTCCGGCACCATCCCTAAAATTAAGAGACAACTTAAGATTAAAAAAAATCAATTAACTTAACAAGAAATTCAACTCAAACTCATGCATTCAAACAAACATTTATATTGACTTAAAAACCAAACAACCTCTAATAATACATATTAATATCAAAATTAATAATAATATCATAATACACTAACATGCATCTAAACCCCCAACAAACAAAGCACGTGCATGAACCTATAAACATGCAAAGTTAAGTCATACACAATTTTTACAACAAACATTTAGGATTAAGTACATACCATAATCCTAACGTAGCAATCAAAATCTCAACATGACAAAACATAATTAATTTAGCATAAATATCATATACGTGCGTGTTACTGTGTTTAGTATGAACGAAATTCGTCGAGTATAAAAAATAATGAAATTTACATGTAATTAATTAGTAATGTAGTAAAAATAGAATCAATGGGGTCCCGAATTTTTAACATAAGATGTTTTAAAAATATAAATAAGTATACATATAATAATTGATTAAATATTCCATAATAAATATTGATTTTAATTAAAAAGATATAGTGGTTAGATTTAACGGTTGATTGAGATCCGCTAACGAATTAAAAAGGCGTGGCTTGGTGACATCAAACGCTGGCAGATGGAGAAGGGTAGGCCTACTCTAAACATCACGCGTGGCATCAAGTTATTTAAATAATTAAAAAATTTATTATTATCTCTTACAAATTTAAATTCAAATATTATATATGTAAGTATACTATACAAAAATTTATTAGGAACAAATTTTTTGTTCATTCAATTATTAGTTGGGCAACGAAAGTAACAAAACGTTATATTTTAGATAATTGTATTTATAAATTAACCTAATATTTTATTTTATTTTATTTTTTCAAGATCAATATTTTCTTCATCATTGTTTAATAATCGTCGATTATCATTAACGATAGAATTGGTATCAAAACATTTTTCTTTCTTTCATCTTTCCTATTTTGTTTTTTTCTCTCCAAATTGATAGACTTCAAATAAAAAATTCAACGTTATCTTGTTCTAATTCATAATTTTTATCATCTGATCATTGTGAAATCAATATATATATATTATTTTTCTTCTATTTTTCGACCTTCTTATGTTATGAAGAAAATACTTTAACGTCGATGAATTAAATGGAGTAAAAAAAATAGGTTTGAAAGAAACGTTTAGTGGCTCATTGTGTAAATTTACTAAAAGATATAAACCGCACTAGACACCTAATTGAGTAATTGTTGGTTGAGAAAATATGATATTTGAAGGTTGGGTGATAGAATCGGAAGGTTTTTAAATTGAGGGACCAAAATAAGTGACACAAATATAGTTTACCCTTTTAATCAAATACTAGATTTTCAAAAGATATATAGTTTAATTATTTACCGTTTTAACTATATTATAATTATTAATATGAGATTAAACCGATATATAATCAAATAGATTTAAGGTTTAATCAGATGAGAGTGTTTAGTTTTAATTATATCCAACTTAACCACGAGTAGAACTAAAAAACCTAATCATGAGTATTCGTTAAATGATTTGTTTAACATAATTATATTAGTGATATTAATATTTTTAGAGACGAAAAAAAATCAAACAATTAATTTAAATTTTCAAGTTGGAAATATTAATATTTGTAAATGCTCAACTTGTTGACGTTTTTCTCGAAAAATCACCGGTGACTGGTATATTTACCGATCTAATACCGGTCAGATTATATTTTCCGATCTAATACCCGTAGCAGTAAAGCGCGTTCTCTGTCCCCGCGCTATATGCTGATTTGGTGCCACGTGGGGTATAGTGTGCCCCCTGTACCGCGCTATACGCTGACATGGCTTACACGTTGGTATAGCGCCCCCCTTATCCACGCTATACGCCATGTTTATCTGACACGTGTGGTATAGCGTGGCCCCTGATCCACGCTATATCTATTTATCTGACACGTGGGGTATAACACGGTACAGGAGGCGCACTATACCTTTAATTACCCCCCAATCATCCCTATAAATACTCCATCCTCTATTACTTTCATCACACCATATTCTCTCAAATTTTCTCAAATACTCTCTCTATTTAAGGTATTTTTATAATATTTTTAATATTATGTATTTAATTTATTTAAGCATTTTACTTTATTTAATATTTTACTAATATAATTTTTTTAGATATATAATGGAAGGCGGTCTACTTCGCTTGGATGAAAATCATATATCTCAACACTTTACTGATACGATAACATTTTAACGTTTTAATTTAATTTAAATTATTTGTAATAATTTTTTGATTTATTTAATGCATGATTAAGAATTAATTTGTGTAGTTATTTAATTTTAGGAGAAGGACCATGTATTAGATCCTTTTATTATGAATCTTAAGTTAGTGATACCTAGCCGTGTCTTGCTGTATTCAGTAGAGGCTGGATTTGGTTACATAGGTAGATATCAGGGTCACTATAAGATAGAACCAGATCTTTTTTCTGCCTTAGTAGAGCAGTGGAGGCCGGAGACCCACACATTCCATCTTCCGTGCGGAGAGTGCACGATTACACTTGAGGATGTTGATATGCACCTAGGGCTTCCGGTGGATGGATATGTGATATCAAGGATCTCGCAGGGTTCCTGGACTACTTTGTGCCGGGATAATCTAGGACGTGTCCCGGAAAGTTTTATCGGATGTAGGATACCGTTAAATTGGTTAGATGCCAATTTTCGGGAGTTGAGTGCAGACGCCTCTGAGGACCAGAGTTCGCGCTAAATATAATTCATACCTAGGTATAGCGCTGAGCAGAGGCAACGCTATATCCCTACGTGGCGTATAGCGCGGATCAGGGGGCGCGCTATACCCACGTGTAAGCCATGTCAGCGTATAGCGCGGTACAAGGGGCGCGCTATACCCCACGTGGCGCCAAATCAGCATATAGCGCGGGGCAGGGAACGCACTTTACTGCTACGGGTGTTAGATCGAGAAATATAAACTGACCGGTGTTAGATTAATAAATATACCGGTCATCGGTGATTTTTCGGAAAAAACGTCCAACTTGTTAGGCCTAAAAATCGAAAGGGTTAACCAGGTAGTTTTGTTTGAAGCATGTCGTTGTATCCCAACTAGTCCTCAACTTGTTCACTTTGCCATGTTATTACAGCAGCTAGCTAGCTCTTGTCTACTTCCCTGTCATTATCATAACTTCACCCCATGGCCAATGCTGCGGCTTTTTTAACTACTTGGTGGACATGCTTAATTTTACTATTGCTTTGGGGATTTTATGGGACGAGTTTGGTCGCCAAAAGTATTCTATACAAGTGTAAATTATGTATTTGGTATCTAAACTATCAGTTTTAGTCTATTTTAGTACATAAACTTTTAATCTTAAAATTTAGTTTTTGTTTTATTTTAGTATCCCACCGTTGAAAAACTTTAGTTTTTATTTCTTTGTTCAAAATTTAATGTGTTGAAAAATCGAAAGTTTAGGTATTAAAACTGACCAAAGATGATAATTTAGGTACCAATCACGTTAAATTTTTAACGACGAGTACTAAAAAAATACTAAATGTTAAGTATGATTTTAAAAAAAAAATTAAATGGCTGTGGTGCCATGTGGATATAATCACTGCACCTCGACTAAACCCTGTTTTTGGGGGGTCCTTAAACCCAAATGAATTTGGACCCATACCGCCACATTCTCTATGATGAGATCGAGTCTCGATTAAATTCAAAATCGAGAAATTTTTATTCCCACAGATTTTTAATATCTCAACCATTTTTTATATAATATTTCATCTTATTAGATAAACTAATTACTAATTATTTATATTGTTCTTCCGCTTTGTTGGCGTGTAATTAAAGGATGTAACAATTCAGCAAAGGCTAAATGGAATCCATCTGATTAGCAAATGTTAAGCAGTTAGAGGTAAAATAAAGAGTAACAAAGCTATAAATGTAAATTCATGAACATGGTCAACCACAACCGTGGAAACAAAATTACAACTCGAATGGTGCCACAGTTCATCGGGATGTTTCTCACCCTCGGTTTCGGCTTCCGTAGCAGTCATCTCCCTAATTGGTTCGGATCAATATAATCGATTAGTACAAATGGGGCTGATCATGAACCGGAGATGCCGTAATCCTGACTGGACGAAACCTTTTGTTTCCTGCCGTTTCTCCACCTACTATCGCCGGCTTCGCCTACTGTTATTCCTCCTTTGGCTCCTCTCCGAAGCTTGATACCTGCCTTGCGTTCCCGTCTTCAAATCATAAATCAGAAACAATAGCATTCATGTGAATTTTACATTTACTCCAAAGAATGAATCACACAACGTAACAATTATAACTTACCCCAAGATAGAAGCCGTTAAATTGAGCATCAAAGCTAGAAGTACTCTCCCGCATCGTCCCACCGGAACTCATATCAGCAGAATTCCGCTTGTTGGAACCAGAACTTCCACCAAAAGATGCGAACCGAGATGAAGGAGGGCAGGGCGTAGTCTGCTGACCATTCGACCCTAATGAATCAATGTCCATTTGAAACATCTCTTCAAAAAGTTCCTGTAATTCCTCAAAGCTTTCCTCTGCATTTTCCTAGCGGTTAAAAACTTTTGTCAGCAAAAGCCCTCAAATTGTGAATGCTTCAAAGCATTATGGAATGATGACCGAATTATCTCAAACTGAACAAAATCGATCATTTTCCGATAAATCCGACGTTCATAACTCACACGCAGTGAACCACAAATCAAAATAACATCTGAACTGAAAACTTACACATAATACTTACTCGAGCCTTATGGCACGGTCATTAATATCAAGTAAGTGGTAGGAGCATACAAACGTACCTAAAATCCACTTTCGAAGGACCCACAATGTCATTTCTCTCAAATGTCATTCCCAAGTAGATAATGGGGTCAACTACAACGGATTTCATGGGATTCCAAGTAGATAATCGATCATATTATCAACCCAACAGATATATATAAAATAATAATAATAAAGTTCTGTTTTGGATCCATAATTCGTGAGATAAAATGGTTTAAAAAACAGTTTGTGTGTAAAAGCCTGAAAACTTTGAATTTAATTAGGGATGCATGTTGAATGATAAGGGTCCTGATGGTACTGAAGTGCAGCGGATTACAGAGAAAAGCCAGCCCCCTGTTGATGAAACTCGCCATGTAGCCGTCCGTATTGTCGTCACAGACAAACGAATATTATCTCCTTTTGGCCGCAAACACAATCGTCGAAGATGCTTGCGGCCTTCAAAGGAGACAATATCGCATTTGTATGCAACAGATCTCGTTAAGCTCCATTGCAGCAGAGTTTATTCAAATAGTAGAAGTCTGTGAACAAGAAGGTTAGATGGATGAAGAAGGAATGGTGGGTGTACGAATATGAATTGAACAAGTAAGGTCCTATTTTCAACCCTACCATCATAGACAATAGTACAATGATGTCGACCCACTACCAACTCAGCCGTGTGACTTGGATCAATAATCGATGTTATTTGATACTTATCTTGTTTTAAAATATGTTATTTGATATTGAATATACAAGATCTCACGCGAAAGGAGGAGTTTATTTTTAATGATTTAGTACGTGTCGTCATTGACTATTTGTGTTAATTACGTGTTCATATGTACTGAGCATTTATAATTTTTTCAACGTAAATTTAGGTTTTTTGTTTAAGTTGTATACTTGAAATAAAAAAATTTCTCTGATATTTATAGATTGCATTTGGTTTGAACGTTTTAGTGTTTTTAAGTTTGATGATGAGTTTGAGTTTAAATTGAATTCATTTAAGTTTTAGTTTCAATCGAGTTAAGTTTAATAATATTTTGAATTCAATTTTTTTTAATCTCAAGTTGAGCTTTAATTATTGATTTTCGAATAGAAGTTGACAATTTTAAGTTTGCGACTTTTTAAAGTAAAGGTCGGATCGAGCTCAATAATTCTTGAACTCGACCCAACTTGTTTAGAATCCTATTCATAAAGTAAATAATCAAATTTCCAAACTAAGCTCATGACCTTTCGTGGTCACAATTTTGGGCACAGTAAAGAGCCCAAAAGGTAATGTTGGGCTCAATCCAACATCTAAATAGAGGGTATTATTGTCTTGAAGGTCCTCTAGACTGACGATGTGATTTAATGAAGTTCATATGTAATCACATATCAAGGTTCAATTTTTTTAACTTATTAAATATTAAAATTTAAAAATAATTAATTATAATATCAAATAATTCAAAAGGAACAAATTTATTAGAAATTTAATTTAATTTGACATAAAATAATATGTTTTAAAGAAAGTAAGTAATTTAAAAATAATACAATTATTTAGGAACATTATTTATTATGTCTCTCAGGCGAGGCATTTTTACCCAAAAATCATCTTAATAACGAAATATTACCTTTTAAGCATCATTTTTCAAATATTACCGATTTAATATCATTTTTAACAAAGCGCAAATCATGAAATGCGCATTTACGGGGTTTTATCCAAAATAGCGTCACGGTGAAAAAGGGCAGATCATGAGGAAAGTCTTTGTGGGGTTCTGTCTGAGCTGGAGCCACTTTAGAAGGCGCGGATCATGAAGCGCGCCTTCACGGGGTTCCGTCCGATCTTGTAAAAGGCGTAGATCATGATTTGTGCCTTACATTTAATACAATTGTCCGCCATAAATGTTGCCCAACCATCCGTCCCCCTCCCCCTATAAATACTCCCTCCCTTTCAACACTTACACCACAAACGAAAATATTATATTTCTTCCTTCTATCTATCATTCTATCAAGTTTTAAGAAGATATAGTTATCATTTTTAGTAGCTAATTTTTTATTATATTATAATCATTTAATAGTTTGTTATTTTATTTTATTTTATTATACTAATTTTTATTATATTTTGCAGTTATAAAATGACAGATAGGTTGTTGTGTTTATATGATAATTATATATCGAGTCATTTTATTCTATCAAGTTTTAAGAAGATATAGTTATCATTTTTAGTAGCTAATATTTTTATTATATTATAATCATTTAATAGTTTGTTATTTTATTATACTAATTTTTATTATATTTTGCAGTTATAAAATGGCAGATGGGTTGTTGTGTTTATATGATAATTATATATCGAGTCATTTTGCTGACACGATAATAATTTTAAATTCTATTATTTTATTTATGATGAATGTTTTATTTAGTTATTTTTTAGTATTAGTTTATATTTTAATTTGTATACTATTTATTTAATTAGGTAAATGGTCGTATATTAGATCCATTTATTCGTAACATTAAGTTAGAGATATCGAGTCGTGTGTGGTTGTATTTAGCCGCGGTTGAATTCAATGGCATAGCGAAATATGAAGGGTATTGTAATCTTGAACCCAACCTTATTTATGCATTAATTGAGAGATGGAGACCAGAGACACAATTTCAAATTCCATGTGGGGAATGCACTATTACGCTAGAGGATGTTTCCATATTTGGAGCTTATGGTATATAGGGATGTTATTTATGGTGTAGCGGATGATGATTAACATTCCTTATGTGAGGATTATCTTGGATGTTTCTCGCCTAATTTTAACGGTGGTCGAATACAATTATCATGGTTGGTTACAATTTTTTGACAGTCGAGCGAAGATTGTCCTAAGGAACACGCTAAATATTTGCCCATGCTTGCATTTTACAACTCATAAGAGGTACCTTGATGCCCGATAAATCTCACAACCAAGTTCATTGTATGTGGTAGCGTCACCTCAGAGATTTTTAAATTGTTGGCTCATTCAGTTGAGGCTCCGCGATTTTTGCATCTCTGTATAGAGAAATGTGTGGGGCAACTAATTATCAAAAAAATGCTATTGGTGGATGTCTCATTCTTATGCAGTCCTGAGCGAGGTATCGCATGCCCTTTTTATGTCGGATCGTGAAAAACCCCGTTAGTATTACCGTTATTGTTGAGGTAATTTAAATACTGAGTTCGTATATAAATAATTTTTAAGTATATAATGAATTTTTTACACTAAATAAGTGGTCATAAATAAGGAAAAATCATTGTTATATACCATACGAATTGGAAGAAATTCGACTACTCATTGATCAAAAGACTGGTACGAAGGTATGTATTTAAATTTTATTATTTACCTTTAATTATCGTTATATAATTAGAATATTATTTTGATAAGAATTATATATATTTGTTTTAGTTTCAATGAGCTTCTTATTGTATTGAAGAAATAAGGCATTGCATCTCACCTCACTTGAGAGACCCATTAGATGTATGGATAGGCTGACTCTATGATATTTTATGTTATTGTTGAGTGGCATCCAAGTGATCATGGAGCCTTAGGAATCTGGACAAAATGCATAACGTCGATAAATGGGGTAAAAAAGATGTCAATTTGTTGATAAAGCACATCGAATGAGTAATGATTTGGAAGGATCGACGTGGACGTATTCCCCGTACGGAGCTGATTTATTTCTATCATTATTCGGTTGCAGATGATTGTTATCAATGGTTCAATACGAACGATAATCCGATCATACTTTCCAAGGAAGCACAAGGCGGGAGCATTCATCGACGTAGAGAAAAGTGTCTACCATCACAGTGTCATCATCACGTAACTCGTAGACAGAGAGCAAATGCTTCCAGTTCATCCTCAGCTACAACAGTAAAACCATCACAACAATCACTATCTACACTGGTTTATATTCTGCAGTCGTTTCAGATGCCACCACAGTCATTTTAGATGCCACCACAATCATTTTAGATGCCACAATCGTAGGGTTTTATGACACATTCTGGCGGATATACTCCCATGCTTTTAGATCAAACTTGGTCTTCATATGTTGTTTATTTGGTGGGTGATGCTTCACCAAAGACACAAACACCTCTGACTCAGTTTTCACATTCATCGATGTAGATGTTTTCGCATTTTTCACAGTTTTCTATAAGCGGTGGGATGGTTAGTCATACACCTCTAGAGTCCTTATTCTATAGAGGTGCTATATCGTCATTCGTTCCTCATCAACAAAATGTCACTGTTACTGCTGCTACTGATGATGATGAGAGTGAGGAGGAAGAGCAACTCATACGAAAAATCCTCATCGAAATATACAACCACCGCCTTGTGGAACACATTCAAGACGCATACATCAATAGACTTGTTTTTATTTATTTTGTTTCTTAACGTTTTTATTTAATTATGAACTTTTTATTTATTTTGTTTCTTAATATTTTTATTATTTAATTGTTTGAATTGTAACGTTTGTATTTAATGTTTATAATTAATTGTTTTTATTGTTTTATTATTTAATTTGTAATGTTTTTATTTAATTTTCCCTTGAGTGTCCCATCACTTTATTAGCACATTAATTAAAAGTAAGCGAAAATGAAATAACACAAACTGAGGCTTTATAAATAACAATTACATCGTCATAGCATCAACGGTTACGAAATGATAAAAGAATAGATGGACATTTTCCTATTGTGGCCTAGGTTTCTACAATGCCCAAATCTTTTGTTTTCTTTCGACGTCTCTTGAATATCCATATCACAAAGAATTCGAGTGGATTTTGGACGACCTGTCTCCCTTAATAAAGACAAATATGGTATAATCGGAAGCCAATTATGAACCTCATCTAGGTCTTTCTCATTACCTATGGGGGATCTCAAATTCATATTCCTTAAATACTTCTAAAAGTCGATATACGAGATCCAAAAAATGGTTACAGTCTTGATGGGTATAAGAGCAAGTTGTTATGCCATGAGAGCATGAATACTTCAAAGTTTGAAAAAACCCACAGTTACACCACCTGTCTTGTATATTAACTCTGAATGAGTTAGCTTCAATCTATTGAAGAGGTCGTGGTATTTCTTTGACACGAAATAATTTATGGGTTCGAGAGAAGCTTGTTACAAACATTAAATTTGATGCAACAATTACTTTTTGTAGATCTGCAACTAATCTTGGATGATAAGTATGGTCATTTTGCATCCAAGTTAGAGCTTGTCCCCCGAGCTTGGCAAAAAGTGCTTCCAAACGAAAATAAGTCATTTTGACCAAAGTAGTTATTGGTAAAAGACGCGCCCCCTTTAAGGTCAAATTGATAGCCTCAACCAAGTAATTGACACTCATCATTATTATTGGACTTTCCATGATAGTTTGTAGTAATATGTCGAATACAATACCGATGTTGTACATAAGGTGGCTACCACATTAAACCCAAAGACTCTATTGTTGTTTTGATCCTAGCTCCGCGATCTGAAATGAAACATATTTTTCCCCTCGTGATAACATGTAAGCGTAAGTTTTTGAGGAAAAAACCAAAGAATTTGTATCTTCTCATTCAACAAGGGCAAAAGCAACTAGAAGA